TGCCTCTCCTCTGGACATGTTCCAGCAACACAACATCTTTCTTGTAGTGAGGGGCCCAAAACCGAACACAGTATTCAAGGTGCGGCCTCACCAGCACTGAGTACAGACGGACGATCACTTCCCTACTCCTACTGGTCACGCTATTTCTGATACAGGCCAGGATGCCATTGGCCTTCTTGGCCACCTGGGCACACTGCTGGCTCATATTCAGCCGGCTGTCAACCAGTACCCCCAGGTCCTTTTCCACCAGGCAGCTTTCCAGCCACTCTTCCCTGAGCCTGTAGCACTGCATGGGGTTGTTGTGACCAAAGTGCAGGACCCGGCACTTGGCCTTGTTGAACCTCATACAGTTGGCCTCAGCCCATCGATCCAGCCTGTCCAGGTCCCTCTGCAGAGCCCTCCTCCCCTCAAGCAGATCAACACTACCACCCAGTTTGGTGTCGTCTGCAAATTTACTGAGAGCACACTCAATCCCCTCATCCAGGTCATTGATAAAGATATTAAACAAAACCAGCCCTAGAACTGGGCCCCGGGGACACCACTTGTGACCGGCTGCCAACTGGATTTAGGTCCATTCCGGGCTCAGCCATCCAGCCAGTTTTTAACCCAGCGAAGAGTACACCCATCTAGGTCATGAACCGCCAGCTTCTCCAGGAGAATGCTCCCTTCCCAATTATTCTGGCAGGTCCTACTTCTCCCTCACTCCTACCACTGCACAGTCTCTTCCCCTTCCTTGCCAGCTCTTGAGTCTCCTGCCCTGTCACACGTGCATGCTATAAAGGCAGAACAAGTCTAACTTTTTGACTTCCGTACTCCCAGGGCAGAGAGCAGGACTTAAGGCAAAAAGCTGGTATTTCCCATCATATCTACACTTTTGTTTCCCCTCAGGGCCTACTAAATGCATCCTGTCTGTCAATGACACCTCCTCTCATTGGAAATTGCCCCCTCCCCCCCCATCTTCACAGCTACCTGCCACATAACACCCACACAGACTGTGTACATACTGTAAAAGCTCCTTTCTTAAAGTCCCATCTACGTCCTCATACTCATTTTCAATTAACTTCATTTCACCCCAACTCCCTTTGCAATAAAGCAGCTTTCCCAGCTCACCCAGGATTCCTCCCATGCACCCCTCCTTCCCTTGCTGCATCTCCCATTTGCCACCCTCCAAACCTCTGTGCTCAACTTATACTCAACAGCAGCAAGAACAGCCATTGTACAGCTGCCGATGTCACGTGCTGCCAAGTGCAAATGTGTGGATGCTGGAAGCAAGAGCGATTCAGATCTGCTACTACTCAGGCAGCTTGCCTAGCAACCACCTTCACTATTTGCCTCTGCTGTTATTCTGCAATACAGAATGTGAGTGGTTAGTCATGGCTGGAAGGAAATGGCTTGGACCTACTGGGCTTAGGGGAAAAATGTTGTTACAGCAAGTTTAGTCCATAAATCCTGCAACAATGACTTTCTTGAGCTTTGTTTAGCCCATCCGATGAGGCAGGCAGAGCCAGTGATTAACTAGTGGGAGTCACAGAAAATGCTGAAACCACCCCTCTCTAACTCATCATAGCCTTGATGACTTCCTCTGCTTTCTGAATCAGCTTGATGAAGACTGTCAAGAATGCACACAATTTTCTTTGGCACTACCCTTAACTAGATCAAACACTAAAGAGGTCAAACGATTCCAGCACAAACCTGGCTGCACCAGTTGGTAATTCCCACACACTACAGGGATCCTTGGGTAGTCTCAGAACAGTCAAAATAGTTACAATTTTTCTTTGCAGCCCTGGGGACCAGAGGAGGTTCATTGAAGCCAACATGGCAATGTTTTCCTTAAATGCATTTAGAGAGTCCAATGAAAAATTCTTTGTATTAAAAAGTCTGGGTTTTATTCCTTGCCTCCTCATAGTGCAGTACTCCTAACTTCCTGGGTTTCCTGCATTCCCATGTAACATTGTTTTCTATGTTAACCTGAGCACCAGTACAGTAATTTTGTCATAATACTCTTACCCCACAAATAAATGAATTGCATGGACTGAGGATCCCATACTTCTGCAACCACAAGCTAATATGGTTTGGTAATATTAATGGACTGAATTCTGTCTGTCACCTCCAAAACTCTGTGTAAGCAGGACGATTAACCCTATGTCTACATCAGCGATTGGCTCGGTGCAGTAAGAATGGCAACACTTGGTGATGTTCCAGAGGGGTTAGTTTGGACAAAATGACCATCAGATGGTAGTGTCTATCAGTTGCACGCCAGGTGCTCATCATCTCCTCCATAAATTTCATCCAAAAAAATCCAGTTCACGCACTCCAAGACTGTCCTGGGGGTTGAAGCATGCTAAACAGAGACAGCTAGGAGGGTCTCTTCAAAAGCACTCTCCTAATCAAACACAAATGTGAATGTAGTCACATTAAGTATAGATCTGCTAGGGAAAAATGAAGTTTGAATGACAAGGCGTTCATTTATTACAGTTAAAATCTGAGTTTCTTTAGTCCTTTACAGCTCTGAAGCCAGTCTCAAGTTTACATTTCATGGCACTGCTCTAAGCTAGTATCCTCTTTGCAATTTACAAACACAGAAGTGGAGAGGCAGATTAAATGACTTGCCTAAGGTCACAGTACAAATCTTAAGCAAAACAGAATATAAAACTTTTCCAGCTTCCTCACGTGTTTTTGCCACAAACTTGTACCACAGCTTTCATTCTGATATTCAGAAAAAACAAAGGATTTAGGACTGTAACTATATGTTAGATTATTACTAGCAACTAACAACTCATCCTGCAGGAAATTAATTTAGATCTAATATGAAAATATATCTCTTATTTCTCTTGCCGAATCTTTCTTCTCTTTGTGAATTATTTTAGCCTGACTTTCCAGTTGGGAAGGCAACCACAGGACTCATAAAAATGTGCTTTATCTTTAATTACATCTTATAATGAATACCAAAATGCTAGTGAATCACACTCTAAACTACACTGGAAATTGTTTTCCAAGTCAATCATCTACATTTTTCTGTAACCAGTTGGCAACTTTGGTTAGCAGCTCTCTCCTTTCCATATTTTCAAATTTTGTAAACTCCAGCAGTAGAGTAGTAGCCACTCTCTCATCCTCTTCCAGTGTAGTATTATAAAAAACCTGCAACTGAAGAAATAAACACATGAGCTTAGTTCACATAACTTCACTTGCAGCAAGCAACTGTGTAGCTGACAGGTGCTTTAGACAGAAGTACATAGAAAAGGGGGAGATGGCAGGGACTAAGGAAGGGATGGGGCAAGCTCACTGATTAAGGCAGTATCAGGAATGTGCCCTTCTGCCATCCCTCTGAAAATCCTTTCAAATGCAGCCAATGTCACTAGTCCACACAGCATGTAGGACTAGATGGGTAGCAGAATCCTCTTGTGCTGCCTGTTCTACAATCTCGGAACAAGAAGACTTCCCTATCAGCCTAATGAGCAGAAGGCACGAGAAGACTGAAGAATAGCAAAGAAATATATGGGAGGAGCGGGAAATGGACAAGAAGAGAAATGAGATATATGTCAGCATGACAACCAGCAACCTAACTAACACGCCAGTAGCCCCAACTTCTGGTGCATTTCCTGTAGACATCATGGCAAAGGGGATCTCTACTGATAGATTTTAAAGAGGAAAATGAGACAGCTTTGGTAACATTTATTGGAACTCAGTTCCAAACTTGAAGGTTAATTTAAAGGCTGGAATCGGGCTATTGCTTTTGTCATCCCAGGAAGTTAACTTGTCCCTGAAGAACAAAAAGTGAAAACGTTATAGTTTGTGAATGTTCAAGAGAGATTTCTTTGATTTTAGGAGCTAACTCACTGAATTGCTCTCCTCATTAAGCATCCCTTCCCAGTTACTTGCCGTGTGCATGCATCAATCAACAGCAAAAAAGGAAAGCAAAATTTTTCTTGTAATGACAGATAATAGCAGTTTGGGGCTGGCACAGAGATGTGGATCACATGCGGACAGCTGTTGAGAAAAGAAAATAATACTTTGGGCAAGAATCTAGGGACACTTGGACTGGTGGTGAAAGAACAAGAAAAGAGAATGAAACAAGCACCGATAGTTTTACATTTGTCTCAGCCACTAACGTGGATTATTGTGGGGAAGAACATAAGACAGCCTACAGCCACCTCCCACAGATTTCCACCCTTCAGCAGGTTTCCTCCAAACCCATTCCCTTTTTCCAGAAGTACAGAAGCCCAGTTAGAAAATACTGTTCATGGGCTCATCTGGACTGCCACGCAATCAAAAAGGAAGAACTGTGTCATATGCGCCAGCGATCCGTTTGGCACGCGGGCAGGCAACCTCCTGCGCCGCAACAACACCGAGCAGGACAACATCCATCCCTGCACAAAAGCCCACTTTCATGCCATGCTTAACAACCAACCACGCACACGGACTGCAGAGCTGTGGGTGCATGTTTGTATGTTTGTTTTGCAGATGAGGAAGTATCATTTTTCTCAATGTCTCAACATAACAACGTTGTACAATACGTTCTATGATTTCTTTAAAAAACAAGAGAGACCTGTATTTAAAAACAGGCAATGAAGTTAAAACTAACTGCTTCTTTGATTTACCTCTTGGATCTGTACATCTGTATTGACAAATCTTCCCATGACTTTTAATACATCATGTAATAATTCCTTCCCATACCTGTAAAATTGAGATAAGGGTCCTTCAAGCAGCACGTTAGCAGATATACTAAATTTCATCTAATTTGAAAAAACTCCCATTACTTAGTTATTATGTACCACGTTGGAAGTACCAACTAAGCTGAAGTTTGCAGCTGTGCATTCTTTTTTCCCTTTTAAAGAAGTATCATTAACATTCAATTTAGACATTTGAGCAGGATGAAGCGCACCAATTACCCTTCATTTTCATTTCCCAGTAAGATCTGGTATTTCTACTTAGGTAATGTGAAACCTTTGCTTAAAATGGATAATCTCTGTGAGCCCAAACACTCAAACTGAGCTAGAAAGGCTAACCAATAATGATTCTAACAGCCTGGTCTTCCTGTTGATTATTGTGAGGATGGCGTACCAATTAAGACCCGCACTATTCTTTTAGTTTGAAAATAATGGGTCAGTTTCCTAGCCAATCTCTCATCAGTATGGAACATGGAAAAGCTCTATGAGGGAACAAGTTGGTGTGACACAAACCTCCTACAACTTGCCTTTTCTAGTGTGAGCGATACAGATACACATCTGAATGTTCCTAGATGCTGGTCTTGGTTATGCTGCCACTAATGGCTCCCAACAGACTCCTCTGCCACCCAAGGAAGGGGAGAGGAAGTCTTTGAACAGACATCGAAATACTTGGTTTGCTCAAGAGAGGTAGCCCAAGCTTACCTGCATAAGTACAGGTAGGCTGGAGATGGGTTAGGACTTAAGTGAGGGAATAATGCTGTAGCCGGCCCTTGCAGCGCTTGCAAACCTGTACGCTCCAATTCCCCATCTCTGCATACTCTTTTTGGAAAAGAGGTTACAATCTTACTCCAGCATCTTACACCCACGCTTGTGAAATGCTTGGATAAACCCATTTCCAGAGCCAGATTCTCCAGGAAATTTAATACTAAAAAGCACTGAAACAGTCCTGAACAGACTAATTTTTAAAGCATTCTGTGTCTGACATGAGATCTTCTTTGACATTAAGCCCTGATCAGAGTTGAATCATCTGAAAACCCTGCTCCGCATACTTAAGGAATTGCATCAATCACTACAAAAAAGCCATCTCTGCAAGGAAAATCTGACCCTGGATTTTACAGCTGAAACATAAAGATGGAGGAAGAAGCCAAAGAGCCACAGAAATAAAAGGAACCCAAAGCTGGTTACTTACCGTACCTTTCACTTAAAAGTGGCCAATTTTCCGTTACAAATTCCCAGGCTATACGGTGCCCAATATCCTTAGTCACCACAGATAAGATGATGATTGAAGTACAATTGCAAGAAAACAATGCATCACTGAGTCCATATTGCAAGTATCTGTTAGAAAAGAAGGTAATAATTTTACCTATCACTTGCTGTTTAACAGTGATGATCTGGAAAAACCATCCAGTTTGGGAAAATTCCTGTCTCAACAAATACCAGAATGTGGAAGGTTACACCAAAGTTGGTGTCACTCTGAGCTCTGTATTCCCCTCAGGTTTTTGTCCTTATGTTGGTGAAATCCCCTGTTCTTGCACACTGACTTTCCAGTTCTCAGTAAAATGAGGGCGCAGCACATCAGGTGGATATATGTGCTTTTCTTACCTGCGTTGCAGAAAGACAGCCACTCCTGCCCCCTGTGGAAGGGCAAACTGCGTCTCAGTTTCTGGAGACTCTGCTGTGACACAGATGGAGCCTAAAGAGTGAGTCAGCAGCGAGACACTCTGTTATGCAAAGGGGACCTGTTTATAGGGTTCCCTATAACAAGACCAATAACCTTAAGGAGTCTTGGATGCTTTCTTGGGGGCTAGGGCATGATTTAAGAAGTGTTTGAGGAACTACCTGCCAATGATGTCAGTGGTAGTGAGCGCCTGAATGTCTTGAAAAAGTTAGTCACTATCCTCTTTGTTGCCTCACTGTTTCATCTTGCATGCTCCTACTTTCAAGGAGCGCTGTTAAAGAGTTATCTTCTCATCACGGTCTTGCAGGTAGCTGCTTTATGGCTAGAGTAGATGAGCTGGGTTTCTCCCATTTGCATGCCACTGGCATGCTTAACAGAATGGTCAAAACGTACTGAGGGCCAGCAAAAACCCAGCTTAATGTTCCTCACCTCAAGAGACTTTCAAGGTGGCATTTAGAAAAATAGATTGGCTTATCAGCTACTTATCAGGCACAGGGAGGGAGGAGGTCGTCACAACTCCCTGAGCTTGTCAGGGACTAGTGCTATCCTGTCCCAGTGACAAAGTCAAAAAAGGACCACAAGTTAGGTGGAAAATCAGCGTAGCTGATTGGACATCCCTTTGCAACCCATCTTGCCTTCTTCTCAGGCATATTTGTTCTGTCTTCTTAAATCACATCACTTCCCACCATCACAAGAGCAGGTGGCTGGCAGGAGAAACGTCTCTGCTGCTTTCAGAGTTTTAGGCCCATTGAGTTTATACCATCTTGGATGATCTTTCTTTAGGCCATAACTGGAAAATTCCTGTCCTTTGACAAGTCCTTTAGGTAACACAATGTGAAACATTAGAGAATTCAGTTTCAACATCTTGTTACTGATTAAGTGAAAAGATTTTATACAGATGCCAGTGAAAGACAATAAATACAGTATTCCAAATTACATTCAGGAAGTGCTCGGAAAACACTCTTAGATATATGGCTTAACTTTTAGGTTGTTCCACATGGAGTCAGGAGTTAAGACTCTGTGACCCATCCCTTCCAACTCAGCATATTCTATGATTCTATGAAGCTGGAAATTTAAAACAAAACACTTTTCAGTGTGAGTCTGCACTTCAAATGGTGAACAGCTTGCTAGTAGGTTTATTTTCATTTTTGCCCTTAATCTGGGTCATTTGGCTTCCACACAGAAGCTAAATAGACTATGATACTTTAGTCTGGAAATAAAATAAGCAGGGGAAAAGCAGTATGGGAAAATTATATAAAATCATAAATGGTAGGGAAAAATGTCAAAGCAAATTATGATAATTACTGTTTCTTACAGTGCAGAGAGTAAGGGCAGCCAATGGGTTCCAAGCCAAAAACCAACACAAAATAGGTTTTAAAAAAGCATGTTTTCAGACAACATGCAATTACATTGTGGGATGTGTTGCCATAGTCTACTATAAAGCCTGAAGGTATAATTTTAGTTCAAAAAGGTCACTAGATATATTGACAGAAACAGGCCCAGTATTTGACATGACACACTGGTTACCAGCTTGGGAAAACCCTTTCTCAGTGGTTACCAGCGTCTGGGATGTATAACAGCAGAAGGATCATTTGTGTCTGCCCTGTTTATCATACTTTCTCCATAAGAAAACTCTTTCTACAGGTTTATAAAACACATGCTTCTGGGGCAGGCAAACCCCCATCAGGTTTGCACAGTACACAATTTGTGTTCTTATGATTTAATTCTATGTATACAAAGATATACTTTGATCAAGGTCACCTGTAAAGTAACCATGACTCTTTGGCACAGCTCATGGCAGAGAGCAGGATGTCTTTATCTTCCTTTGTGGTGTCGGTATGGTTATACATTTCCCATGCAAAATTCCATTCTTTGTCACTTCCCACTGCAACACCATAGCAGCAGACCGTTCTTCTAATTAAAAAGGGAATCCTGCAAAGCAAAATAAGATTAAAAGGTACTGTATTATTGTAAAGTCAAAACCAGCAGTTAACGCATAACTGAAAATAAATGTTTATTTACAGTTAAAAGATGCACAAGAAAGGAAATATAAAATAGCAATCTAAATAAAGCTAGGAAATCTGATTGCTTTATTAATGATTTAAACATTTTAAAAGCTTGCAGTTTAAAGGCAAACAAAAACCATTTTTTTAGAACAGCTGGAACAAGCTATTTTGTGTACATAGAGTGTCAATGGCACTCTCTCACATCACAGCCTAGGGCATGGATAACACCATTAAAGAGTGTATGGCTGCATATAAGCATCATCCCAGACAAGCCTTTCCAAAGTCGATGCAGCGAATGCATCCAGTAGGAAAAGCCATGTGCAGCAGAAACAGAAACAGACGGGACATTTCTCCATGCAACAGGCAGCCTCCTATTAGTTCTCACCCCAGGGGAGAGTCCTCAACATGGTGATGAATTTCATAACAGGTGCTAAACGCAAACATTATCGGTGTCCTACTCCACTTCATGTGCAAAGGCTGAATAGAAAATTTCTCCTGTTGGCAATGATGTGACCCTGACATTAAGACATTGTCAACACTTTCCAGTGATAGCAATGTATTCTACTATGCAGGCTACCTGAAAACAGTTTAAATTAACGGTATTCTGGACTAATCCTCTATAGGAGAATGGGTCCCATTGCTACAAAGGAAACATTTAACTTCCCAATGGCACACAGTTAATCTGATTCTAAGCAGAGGCGTAAAAACTATATTCCATTAGATCAGGAGATACGACTTGGAAAACCAGACAAGTTTCTGATCACAAAAGCCATTCCTCAGGTTCAAAACTGGAAGCAGAAAATTCAAATTTAAATATAATTTGAGACACATTCCTCTGGAAAGTTTCAGTAGACCATCCCAGAGAAAATGGGGATGATACAAGCAGAAAGAGAGACAATATTAGTCAGAAGGAAGGGTATATGAAGGCAACCTTCAAAGCAAAAGGTAGAATCAAGTAAGGTATAAACTCTGAAAACTAAGAAGAACTCATGGGAACAAGGGACAGAGCCGGGTGTTTTGCATGACAGAGATCACTTGTTAAGAAGTGAAAATGCAGGATGCAGGGATTTTGGTAGTCCTGTTGTGGGTGGGAGATTTCACTGGCATGATAACAGAAAGTGTAGGCATGTTTTATATCTACTGCAAAAAATAGTTTGGATTCATTTTTACCTGGATATGTGCTGGAACATAAGGGATTTGCCACCGAGAATGATGCTTACTGAGATTGAATGGTTACGTCAAGGCAAAGAATAGTCCTGCAAGGAATCCTTTTATGACAAATCTCATTTGAGTTACAGGGTCTAGTAATTTACTTAATAATAATCTCATAACATTGCAGAAAGAGGCCATGTTAGGGTGATAACAGGGTAAAGCTGCTTTAGCTAAAATGCAGCTATTTATTTTGGTACTGCAGCTGTTCCAATAGTTTCAAGAAAATGTTGGTTACTGAATGTAAAGTTGTGGTAGGTGAAGAGCAAACAGACGAGCTCTGTGTACCATCAGGTTGCAGCTCTGATGTACAGGCTGTACAGGCAACCCATTATGGGACAGTGGTCTACTGGCTGGTGACATCTATGGTGTCCCTGAAGTGGTTTACGTTGTACAGTTGACAGAGGAAGTCCACTGTGGTCCAGACGGACTTCAGAGCTTGAAGTTACATTAGTTGAGGGGTGGGGTTTATTAGTCTTGGTATTTTTCCTGGGAGTGGTTGTGTGGTTTGATATTACTGGCCTGCCAGGATTCTCTCGTTTCTGGATCTTGGGGAAGATGCAAAAAGCTGCTGGGAGGAAGGGTGGATTATTTCACGTTGTTTTCCTGGAGCCAGTGCTGACATAGTGATTTCTTAAATTTGAGGGCAACAGCAGTATATGGTTACCTTTGGTAAATAACTAAAATGTACAGCAACATTGTCCCTCCCTCTAGGCTCATTTCCTTCTTTCAGAAGAAGACAAGACAGTAACAGCACCACAGAAAATACATTAATTCAGCTAGCTCTACTTCACTCCTATAAGCAAAAAAGAGTAAAACTGAGAAACTGGCTGGGAGTCATGGCTCTTGGCTTGTTACCTCCACAGAACAGAAAAAAAATGCACCATATCAATTCTAGTTAAGTTCTGCCAGGAGCTGTTTGGAAATGCTCAGATGGAAGTTGATCACCTTATCTGAAAGAGAGAAGCATTACTCCCTTCCACAGATGTGAGAATCCTACCGGGGTCCACCCAGCAGAACAGCTATAGTGTGCTGTTACAAATTTTGCTCTCAGAATGGAGAATATGTCTGTGAAATATGCCTGTCTGTGAAATATGAGTCAACAGTTTGTTGTGCCCTTTTCTTTTTCTATCCAGCACATGAAAAGCCTCCTTTTTAACCAAACAGGAACTGTTAATTTGAAACCTAAAAGGGTCCTACCTCCTATTGCTTTTTTTCCTTAAAACATAATCATTTTTTTCACTTAATAAAATCCATAGTTGCATTTTTTCCCTCACTTACAGCCATGTGAAGTGTGAGGCTGTAAAGCCCCTTTCAACTTATCTCAGTGCCAGGAAGGCCAGTGAAATTAATCTTCTCCACCTAATTCAAAACGAGATCAGCTAATACATTTCACAGACTTTTTAGCTCTTCAAGTCAGATAAGGTATGCAGTATTCCACTGGGAAAAAATATCATTAGAAGGGGAAGATAGGTGACTATTTTGAAAACAGCCTGAGAATTCAGCATAACATTGTTGCTTTTAGTGTGGGATAGCAAGAATGTTCTCTCTGGAACATAACAGAATGTATTTAGGCTATTCAAACTTTTCAGCTTAACTGCAAAACACGGTTTGGTTTTTATGAGGATGATCACTGCAAAGCTATTTAAAAAACCACAAACATAAAAGTACAAGTTCACTTTACTCAGCCATACCACATATATCAACAGAGATACAAGTAACAACAAAATATTTATTACAACTACAACAGATAATAATAAACTTTAAATATTCACTCACCAGTGCCAATACTATTTGACTATTGCATAGAAAAACATCAAAAGAAAGAGGGAGGAAAAGAGAATAAGAATTTCAATACATCATAAATTTTCTTCAACAATGCAATACTCGAATACAGAAAGTCTGATCCTCATAGAGCCCAGACTCCATCCTCACAGGCCAGAAACCTGACCACTAGGCTCCAATATCAGCATAAGAACTGACAGATGTTCCTGGCATCTCTTTACATGAATACAGAACATGCATGGCAATCTGATGGGCTCACCATGGGCAGATGCCCGTCGTTTTAGTATCATTTCACTCAGTATTGCTAAGAGAAGCTTCGAAACTGAGTTGGTATACATGATAACCCTAAGGCTGTACTGAAGCAAAGGGACTGGACAGTATGGGGTATCATCCCTAATCTGAGGTTCACTTGTCATGGCTAAACAGATTTTGGTCTTCATGGCAAAAATCTGCATCCGCCAGCCTCTTAAGGTCTATGCAAAAAGTAACAATTACGAAATCATCATAAAGTGGGGATTTGGGGAAGAGGAGGGGGTTAGGAGGGCACAGCTAGGCTTAAATTCTGTCATTCTGGTGAGAAGGAAGAACAGTGTACAGGAGCATTTCTCATTCTGCCTCCCCCATGTACGAGCCCTTTAACTCTCCACCTGACCTACACATGCACACCTGTAAGAGCACATTATCGTTCTTACTTGTACTCAGGGTTTTCCATCCACTTAGCAAACAGTTCAGATGACAGGTTCAAACAGTCCTGGAGGCCCAGCCAGCACGCTGTGGCAAAAAGTTTTTCCAAATACACTCTTGAAGGGAAGCCAAAACAGCAAGAATAAAAGATACGTATTCCACATTCAGAGTACTTGAACTGTGCTTGCCCAGCAGTTTCAGCACATGATGCCATTAACCCAGGAGAACCTCTACTAGACACAGGTGAGGTTTAATAAAAATTAAAAATTAAACTACCAGTAACAGGTTCCTGACAGCAATATTCATGGACATCAGTGAGGCTACCAATGTAATACAATTTTTCCTAGTTTCTTGTTTGCTTTATATCGCTCTTGGTTGTTTTAAGAGACCAGTTGCATCTAGTCCAAATCATTCTGACATGCAGGACTGAACTAGCAAAATGAACTATTTTAAAGTTCTAGTGATTCATCCATAAATCACAGCTGAAGCTCATTGCTGTCAGTTTTTCCCCAACTAGCCGCAGCCTGTTGAGCCTGTTACCCCATAAACAAAAGCTACCACTCAGATCATTAAAGTATCATCCTTTATGCTCACTAAATAGACTGAAAATATCCCAAATTATCCTAATATTGCAGTTTCATTGGAAGTGTCATCACAAATAACACACACTTATAGGACAGTAAAAATAACAGTTCAGTTACGTTCAAATTAAAGCAGAATACTTACTGAGCAAAATAGTCATCTTCCAAAGCATCAACATTTTCACGAATAAAACCTGCATAATAATGGTATATTGGCAACATTCTCTTTAAAAGGTATTTCTTTTAAAAGAAGGGAAAGAAAAATTAATTTAGATGCAAGTTTTTATTTTACTGTGTTTTTCTTTACTTACTCAGATTTATACTAAAAATTTAGCGCTATTAATTTCTTGGCAACACAGCACATTAAAATAAAGTATATAAATTTGGTCTAAAATTCAATATACCTGTACATCCATTCAAACTAGGAAGTTACCAACTCACATCACTAGGACCTTTGAACTCATTATGAAAAACAACAAATGCTCATTCGCAGAGAGGTAGAGTGAAAGAATAGTTCTTCTCACATCTTTTAAATATACCTTTACTTTTAGAACTTAAGAGAACTACTATTGTGGGACTGCACTTAAAACAAAAGTTAAATCTTCAAATAGAAGTCAAGGAAATAAATAAGGCAATATTATCTGAGGTAGCTGAAATATGGGAATCATCTCGTTTAGTATCCAAACCCAAATCCTTCTTTCTCTCCATGAAGGTGAACTGGAAGGCAGTACAAAACAGAGAGCACATACATTCTGTATCCCATTTACACATAACTGTCACTCTCATTACTTACTGCTGACTATTTACTACTGACTGATGGCTGTATTTTCCGGACCCTCAGTTTTACAAAAACCTTGGATCAAGCTTAACATAAAGAATGTGAATAGATTTCTGCTTTCCAGTAAGAACTGCTCATGATTCAATGATATTTATCACTGACTAATACATACAAATAAGTACCTTCTCCTATTTAAAAAAAATCATGCAAAAGGCATGACAAGATATATGACCCATCATAGTCACTGTTACCTCCATTTTAGTCTGATTTATTTAAATGGTCTAGTATCTTTGCTAACAAAAAAGTCGATACCTTTAAAAGTGGGTATACTTCATAGTTCTTCAGAGTACTTTCCAAATTCTCAGGTACAAGGTTTAACAATACCAAATTCCATATGAAGAGCTCATCTTCTCTGGCAAGGTACTTTGTTAGTTCAAGTGCTGTTTCAATCTGAATGTATCCAAACCTATTTGAAGATAAAAAAACCTCATACTTGAGCATACCTATTCACATTAATTACCTACCACAAATTTCTGTTTATTTACAAAACTGTCAATAAAACATCAGGATACTGGATGGAGAGTGACCTAGAAAAGACATTGGAAAAATAAATATAAAACAATGGTGCCTTTAAGAGCTGAACTCACAAAACATTTCTTACAGAGCACAGTGCCACTATCAAAGTAATAGGACAACCATGGCAGTAAGCATGGCAGTATGCAGACTGTATTCTGCTTGTGTCTGCAGAGTACAGTACAGGCACACTTACAGCACACATCAGCCTCTCTAGAACAAAATGAAGGAAAAGAGCGCTGATTTGAGTTACAATACATTTGTATTTTTATTGCTAAACAACATATTTTCATTTGTGGAATATACATCATTGTAAAAATCCAACAATTCCATTCACATGCACACTGTTCCTGGAACTAACTTCAGCATGGCATTTCTGTGCCTTGGTGTGGAATCAGCAAGGAACTCATCCCACTTCAAAACCCTCTCCTCCAGAACAGAAACATTTCTAGTGTGCTTACATAGGAGCACAGTTCTATACTTTGCAGCTTCATTCTTTACTACATACTAGGTTTGAGCTCTCATATGAGAAAGGGCATTTGTATGAGAGGAGGAATGGGAATTTTTACTTCCTCCTCTCAGAGCTACCTCCACAGGCTCTGTGGGGCAGCAGTATGCTTTGGCCACCTCCTCGAAGATCATGATGCTTTCGGGATCTCTGGTACGTTTGAGGAACAGACATATTTATGGCTTCTTCAGCTGCCTACAGAACTGCTGACCTCTCTAGCACCACAGGCACGAACAAGCGAGTCATCCATCAGCAAGGGAAATGAAAGAGGTATTAATAATGATGCCGGACAGCATAGCTGAGATAGCCCAGAATAAATCCAGGGAAATTCAGAATGTTCTTTCGGAATCTTTCTTCCATTACAACAAATATAGGTTAGTCCCTAAAGAACTCATAGCAGTGCCATTATTTAAGATATTTCTTAAGAGCTGGAACAAAAGTTAAAAGAAATTTTGAAAGAAGTCACTCAGCACTGACAGAAGAATGGATTAAATATTTAACTCCCCCACCATTTTGTCAAAACAGCTGTTGTTCTTATGAGGCACATATGAGTAGGGATAAACAAAGCAGAAGTAGCAATGTTAAATGCAATCGTGTAGTTTAAACATTTCCTATGACATATTTGAAACGTACTTACTCTGTCAATGCAAAAACATCATCTATCAGCTGGAACCTGCTGACAGCGGGAATAGCCTGCAGAAAGCATTCACGTGGCATTAATAGATCTAAACAAGCCATTAAAAGTTTAAAAAAGCTTTACTATGTTTCAGAAGGATAAGTCCCTAGCACTTTTTCTAACCCAAAATCTACAAAGTATCATATAGTGGAACCTACATTTTAAGCTAAACTTATACATGTGCTTTTAGGGATGTTTATATATATAAAAATATACAACTACATAATATATTTACATACATGAATAAACAACTACAGTACATTAAGCACAGAATTTCAAGACCCATCTTACCTACATGCTGTAATGAAAATTAAAATATGGGAATGCTACATTTCCTAAAAATATCCTAGTTACATCATCGTGGTACGTCTTTTCCTTTTGAGGCTTTAGTTCAGAATACGTACTCAGGTTAGCCCAGAGCAGAGTGTTTGGCACTATCACGAATTAAATGACGGAGGCAGAGCCATGGGTGTACTCCTGCCTACAGCTCGTGCTCCCTTGAGGAACTGCTGGTCCCTCCTTGTCTCCTCCCTGCTTCCATGCCCCTTTGGCTCGGCCGCTGCTCAAGCAAACCTTCCCACTGACCAGTGCCAAAAAATGGCCCCAAACCAGCACACACCTAATTTCCTGCT